ACACTAAAGTCCATTGAGTTTTTTTAGACTTTTCCCTTTCTTAAACAACATTCCAGATATCTTTGGCGTTAGCCGTGAACATCATTGTGTCACTTATTTCAGGATCCATAGAACTTCATAACCACGCCGTGATCATAGAATCTTCTTCGTCCCAGGTTTTAAACAAGGGATCTTCTGGTTTCGGTCCAGTTCCAGTGAGATGACTGCTTTTTCCCTTCCGTTTCAGGATGGTTCGAACCAGTTGGGACCATTTGAGATAATTCTTGCCATCCAACTGTATGCTGCGTGGATGTGTTGTAATTCTCGCGGCTGTTGAACGTGAACGGGTTGAGATTGGGAGGCGGGGTCTGACTTGGTCTCTGTCATTCTTTTGGCTGTTGATCGAGAGGTGTAGGTATGAGAGGCTTATGAATTTTTGGCGATAAAGGCCAGAAGAACAACTTTAAGAGAAACGGGCGATGAAGGCCAGAAAACAGAAATACACAGGCAATGAAGGAAGGGATTCCCATGTTTCGGTGGCTCTGATACCATAACAGATTTGGGATTTCCAATATATTGATTATCGAAAGAAATCATACAAAATATATAGAAGAGGCTAAGCTATAATAAAAGGAAACTATCCTATGAAATCCCTGATTTTATGGGATTATACACGATCCCCTATTGAATACATAATCATTTCCATTTTCCCACAATATACAGTCGGTCTTGCACTACCACTCACAAAAGAAATATAGAAAAGAACTGTGAGAGAGTTGAAGAAGTAAGAAAATGACTTAAGAATTTTATCTCCAAACAAAATGAACGCCTCTCACACTCCTCACCGCTCACCACCTCAATCGCCGCTTCACCTTTGCAAGGCGTACATCCCATACAAGCTATGCTGTTAATATCGCGATATATCGTCGATATATCGGCGATATATCGGATATCGCTCCTAGGAAAAAAATCGGACCATAAATATCGGTCAAAATATCGGGGCCGATATTATCGGCGATATTTAGCGATTTTTTAGCGATTTTTAGCGATATTTGAGGTAAAAATCGGACCGATAT